GCCCAGACTGGAGTGCAGTGGCCGCTCCTGGCCACCGCAGCCTCGACCTGCTGGGCTTAGGCGATCCTTCCACCTCAGCCTTCCAAGTAGCTGGAACAACTTTATTTTTTTGTGTGTTTTTTTTTTTTTTGAGTCAGGGGTCTCATTCTGTTGCCCAGGCTGGAGAGCAGTTGCACAGTCACAGCTCACTATAGCTTCAAATTCTTGGGCTCAAGTGGTCCTCACATCTCACCCTCCCAACTAACTGGGACTAAAGGCCTGTGCCACCACATCCAGCTAAGTTTTTGATTTTTAAAACAGAGACAAGGTCTTGCTATGTTTCCCAGGCTGGTCTCAAACTCCTGGACTCAAGGAATCCTCCTATTTTGGCCTCCCAAAGTATTGGGATTATAGGTGGGAGCTACCATGCCTGGTCAATTTATCTTAATTTTAACCTGACATAAATAAAATTCTATTCTTTTCTTTTTTTTTTTTTTGAGGTGGAATTTCAGTCTGTTGACCAAGCTGGAGTGCAGTGGCATGCTCATGGCCGCCGCAGCCTCAATCTACTGGACTCAGATGATTCTTCTGTGTCAGCCTTCCAAGTAGCTGGAAGTACAGGTGTGCACCACTATGCCTGGCTAATTTTATTTATTTATTTGTTGTAGAGATGAGGTCTGACCAAGTTGCCCAGGCTGGTCTCGAACTCCTGAGCTCAGGCAATCCTCTTGCCTCAGCCTCCCAAAGTGCTGGGATTACAGGCTTGAGCCACCACATCCGGCCAGGAAAATTTATTTTCTACATTGCCACAAAGGACAAAAAAATCTCTGGACAGGTAGATCAGAATATCTACCTTTCTGATCTATATCTATCTAATCATGTATCATCTATCTACCTATCAACCTATTATGTATCTATCCATCTATCTATCAACTGCCTTTTTTTTTGTTTGTTTGAGTCGGAGTCCAGCTCTGCTACCCAGGCTGGAGTGCCGTGGCAGGATCATGGCTCCTGCAGCCTTGACCTGCTGGGCTCAGGTGATCATTTTTCCACCTCAGCCTTCAAAGCAGCTGCGACTACCAGTGAGCACCACCATGACCAGCTAATAGTTTTGCTTTATTCTAGAGACAAGGTCTTGTCGTGTTGCTCAGGCTAGTCTTGAACTCCTGAGCTCAAGCAATCCTCTCACCTTGGCCGCCCCACAATGCTGGGATTACAGGTGTGAGCCACCACACCCTGCTATTATCTACCTGCCTACCTACCTACCTACCATTGTCATCTGTCATCTATGTCATGTACCTATCTATCCATATAATCTATCATCGATCTATCATCATCATTATCTATCAATCTCTATCTACCTATCATCTAATCTGTCATGTATCTATCTATCCATATCATCTGTCTATTATCATCATTTATCATCTATCTATCTCTGTCAGTCTGCCTATCTATCTAGCTAGCTAGCTAGCTAGCTATCTATCTAGCTATCTATCTATCTCCATCTGTCTGTCATCAATCAGAGAGAAAGAGAGAGAGAGAGAGAGAGAGAGGTAGAAAAAGGCAGAGAGAGCCAGGGAGTGAGAGAAGACAGAGGAAGGCAGAGAGGGCAGCGAGGCTGGCGCAGCCACCTCCTCCATGGCGCTGATGAGGTTCTGGGTGGACTTGCTGATCTCTCCGCCTGCGGCAGGCATCCCGCTCCCCGGTGTGAAGAAGGCAGAGCTGGGCCCCGGGTGCCCGTTCATTTCCACCGTGTAGCTGGCCTTCATGGGGCAGCACATCTGGTTGTGCAAAATGAAATAAACCACAAAGACGTAAAGTCCCTGCAAAAAAAAAAACAAACAAAACCAACACGTCAGCATGTCCTGTGGCCACGGCTGAGAGCCAGCGGGGCTGAGCAGTGGGTTCCTGCAAGCTCCACCTCCATTTCCCTGTGGGTCACGGACCTTGTCAGGAGTCCAGCGAGAGATGGCTGCACACTTCAAGTGCCACAGAAAAGCCAGTCACTGTCGCTGATGAAAACTGGCTCCCCCCAGAATATTGGTTTTTTTTTTTTGTCTTGGTTAAAACTTAAGGGACTCTGCAGTCTAGCCCCACTCATACTCGAGAGCAGAACTGCAGAAGTGTATCCCCATAGCTGTGTGCATTTGGTCATAGGAAGCAAACCTCCTGTCTTTCACAAAAGTACCATGTTGCCCCATCTCTCTCTTATTTGCGTCTTTTGCTGAGCCAAAAACTGAGCTGAAGTGGGTGACTAATGGTGCTCCGGTCATGCTGTAGATTTCTGAAAGGGCAGCACTGACCAGGTCTCTTGATTTCACTTAGATCTGCCACCTACTTAGCTCACTTGGAAATAGAAGCACTGCGCAGGGACTCAGGAATTCTGCAAATTGCTTAATATTTAGCATGACTTGCTTCATTATAAAGGTTACATAAGAACAATAAAGCTATCTTTTGCATCCTTTTTTCTTTTCTGCGTCAGGGTCTCACTCTGTCTCCCAGGCTGGTGATCACAGTTCACCCCAGCCTCGACCTCCTGGGCTCAGGTGATCCTTCCACCTCCGCCTCCTGAGTAGCTGGGACTACAGGAGTATGCCACCATGCCTGGCCAATTCCTTGATTTTTTTTTTGTAGAAGACGAGGTCTTGCTATGTTGCCCAGACTGGTCTTGTATGCCTGGGTTCAAGAGGTCCTCCCATCTCACTCTCCCAAAGTGCTGGGATTACAAGCGTGAACCACTGTGCACGTTTCTTTCTTTCTTTCTTTTTCTTTTCTTTTTTTTGAGACAGAGTTTTGCTCTGTCACTCAGGTTGGAGCACAGTAGCAAATCATTGCTCACTGTAGCCTCAAACTCTTGGGCTCAAGTGATCCTCCCACCTCAGCCTCCCAGAGTGTGAGATTACAGGCACAGGCATGCACCACACACCCACCACCCCATCTTGTGCATTCTTTTTTTTTTTTGAATCAGTCTCCCTCTGTCGCCCAGGCTGGAGTGCAGTGGCACACCCATGGCCACTGCAGCCTCAACATGCTGGGCTCCGACGATCCTTCCCTCTCAGCCTTCCAAGTAGTGGAACCACAGGTGCGTGCCACCACACCTGGCTATCTTGTGCGTTCTTAAAGAGCTGCTGGCCCTTTAAATTCTTTTGCAACTTAGTAAACTCTTGACAATGGCTCTGCTTCAGTCACAGACAGCAACTCCAAGTTAGTTTTGTGTTCCCAGCATCACTACAAGGGATCTTCTTCTACAGGGTGGCTACTGCACATTCATAAAGCTTGGTAATTTTGACCCTTACTCTCAGCTGATAAAATGGGTTCCATTGAGCCTTTTGTATTTGTTCATCCTGGCGTTTGAGTTTTGGAAGCAAAAAAGAATCCCACTTATAAAGTTCCTAAGATTCTTCAATTAATCCAAGAAAAGAAAAGCAAGACACTCAGTTTATTAAAGAAGACAAAGAGTCAACATCAAGATTTTTCAGAAGCCATGAATAAGTGACGTTATCTTGTGAAATTTGCTTTCTCCCAGAGTTCCTAACATTTCGGGGAGTGTAGAAGCAATAAAATACTTGTGGGCCTGAAACATATATCTGTTGGTAGAGTAATAAAAAGTCTGAGGCCCGGCTTGGTGGCTCAGCCTGTAATCCCAGTACTTTGTGGGGTGGAGGCGAGTGGATTGCCTGAACCTATGGGTTCGAGATCAGCTCGGGCAACTTGGTGAGATCTCATCTCTACAATAAATCAAAGATTAGCCAGGTGTGGTAGTGCACGCCTGTAGTTGCGGCTACTTGGAAGGCTGAGGCAGAAGGATCACCTGAGCTCAGCAGGTCAACGCTGGGGTGGCCGTGAGTGAGCCACAGCACTTCAGCCTGGGCAACAGAGTAAATTTCCAACTCAAAAAAAAAAAAAAAAAGTCTATTAGAAAATAGCCAGGGCCTAAGAATTGCAACCAATTTTTTTTTTTTTTTTTTGGGAGATGAAATCTTGTTATGTTGCCCGGGCTGAGCTCAAGCAATCCTTCCACTTTGGCCTCCCAAAATGCTGGGATTACAGGTCTGAGCCACCACACCCGGTCGCAAACAACTTTTGTATAAAATGAAATTAGTGGACAAACTACAAGGCTTGTATGCTAGCATTTGATCTCTGTACCATTTCTGGAACACTGTTATAACATAGGACTTTCTCCCCTTTTTGCCCAAACGATACCTTCTCGGGTTGCCACCTAGTTAAAAACACATTTTAAAATCAGTGGCTTATCTGCTAAAAAGTATTTTAAAATTTGATTGCTCTGACCATGATATGAAAGTAAACAAACACTTATTTCCCTTTGAATTAGGGTGGTTTGGATTTTTTTGGAAACAACATTAGCATTCTAAATTGCGTAGGGTAAGTGAGTAAATTAGTTTCATGTGCATGTGATACTGTGACCATTAGCAGAAACAAATCTTCCTGAAAATACTCACACACAGCCAACATTTTTCTTGTACAACGGACTTTTCACATGGGTATGACCTAATTACATTGGCCACAGCAATAGACAAAACAGGAAAATAATAGAACTGTCAGCCTGAAAAACTGTGCAAATGCCACTGATTTATTTCAGGACTTCTCTAAGTGTAGTGAAGAGATAGGGTGAGAGCTGGATCAGGAAACAAAACCCATGCTTTCAAATCCATCTCTGAGGACTCGCTGGAGAAAACAGCACGTTCTCTCTCTTGTTTGTTTTCTTATTTAATTTTTGTGCTTCAGGAAAGGAACTGCCTGCTTAAAATAACTAGCCTGTGAAAGCTGCATGTGTTTTTCTTTTCTTTCGTTCTTTTTTCTTTTTCTTCTTGAGTTGAGGTCTCACTCTGTCACTCAGGCTGGAGTGCAGCCTCAAACTTCTGGGCTTGCGTGATCTGTCTCAGCCTCCTAAGTAGCTGGAACTACAGGTGTGCCCCACCATGCCCCGCTTTTTTTTTTTTTTTTTTTTCATCTTTTAAAGAGACTGTGTTGCCTAGGCTGGTCTCAAATTCCCAGCCTCAAGCGACTCTCCCACTTCAGCCTCCCAAAGTGCTGAGATAACAGGCAGGAGTCACCGTGCCCTGCCTTTTAAAAAGTTTTCCTTAAAAGCATAGAAATATACAGTAAATATTGGGAATCTTCTAGCTGTGCCCCAGGACACACAAGCACTGTTGAAATGGAAAGAATAGAACATTCAGTGTAGACTCTATGACATTTGCCTGTGTCCAGTCCAGATATGGACAAGGAACTTTCATGATCCAAGGTACTCAGCTGTGGGGCTTTCTAACCTCTGAGTGAAACAAGTCTCCTTTGCAAACACTGCATATTTTCTCAGGGCCCCCTTGTGTATGCCAGTCTGAGGACGAATTTTAAGACAATCTGGATTCTCAATTATTCAGTTCAGTATTGCTGATCACTGGCTATGTGCATCACTAGGTGCTGAGATGCAAGGATGAGACATTTGATTTTTTTTTTTGTTTTTTGAGTCAGAGTCTCTCTGTCACCTAGGCTGGATGGAGTGCAGCCTTCCAAGTAGCTGGAACCATAGGCGTGCACCACCATGCCTGGCTAATTTTTTATTTATTTATTTTTTATTGTAGAGACAAGGTCTCACCAATTGCCCAGGCTGGTCTTGAACCCCTGGGCTCAGGCAATTCTCTCACCTCAGCCTCCCAAAGTGCTGGGTTTACAGGTGTGAGTCACCACATCCAGCTGGATGAGACATTTGACTCCCACTCTCAAGTTGCTCACAAATATGACAATGATCTACAGAATTACAGGTTCACTGTTTTAGAAGCAAGACATATATTATTCATCTGTTCTTTATATATTTTTTTTCTTTTCAGAGACAGGGTCTTGCTCTGTCACCCAGGCTGGAATGCAGTGGCAGGATCATAGCTCGCTGCAGCCTCTGACTCTTGGGCTCAGGTGATTCTCCTGCCTCAGCCTCCTGAGTAGTGGGGACTACAGGCACGCACCACCATACCTGACTAATTTATTTTTATTTTATTTTTTATGTTGCTCAGGGTAGCCTTGAACTTCTGAGCTCAAGCGATCCTTCCACCTTGACCTCCCAAAGCATGGGGATTACAGATGTGAGCCACTGCACCTGGTCTGTTTTTCCTATTCATTAGAGAATTCCTTTCTGTGCATCATTGTTTTGATGATTTTGGTGGATTCCTACTATTAACATGAAAAACGCTTTCAAAAGTCTCCACTTAAATTATATCTGAATTGCCTATACCCACTATGATCAACTCTGTATTTCTTTCGATCCAGGAATTTCTATGTAATAGCAAACATTCAGTGAGACACAAATGAATGCTCTTCTCATCAAGGAGTAGGTACGTACAGGAAATTTTAGTGGCTCGCTTCTTACATTTCTGTTAGTTTTAGATGAGACAAAACTCAATAGACTCAATATCATTATTTCACAAAGTTCAGAAGTGGTGGCAGGGGAGAAGTGGTTAAAACAGGAAAGTGATTAAGCTAGGTTCTACGCTCTCAGTAGAGCTTTTTACAACTTCTCCAAGGCTTACTAGCTCCTAGCTGAGGGCTGCCCTCAGGCTTCAGTGTGGAACCCCGAGCCGGCACCCTTTTCAGAGACAATGTGGAGTAAGGGACTCAGAGGAGTGAAATCTCCATCAAATTTAGGCGTTATTCATCTCAAAAACTGCAAATTTGAGATTAAAAAAAAAAGAGGAACTTCCCTTAAGCTGTAACCTCCTAGAAAGTAGGTGACCATGCCCAGTTCACTGTTTTGGTTTTTTTTTTTGAGTTGAAGTCTTACTCTGTCACCCAGGCTGGAGTGCACTCCAGTGTC